CATGACTTGACTTGTTCCTCTCCAGCCATATCTTTGTTCTTGACGTCTTTCAAATAAACGATTATCACATGCAATAGCTTGAGTAATGAATTATTCTAAAGAATCTATTCTTGGCATTATCAATAATAAAGCTTTGACATTATCTTTTAATCCATAGCAAAATTGTTTGATAAGGGCTTTATCATTCCAGTCCATATCACAAGCAAGACTTTGGAATTCAACGGTATACGTGGCTGAACGTGATTCTTGTGATAGTGATACAAGTTTGGTCTCTGGTACCTTTTCTTGATCACTTTTTTCAAATGTAGCCGTAAATACTTCCAAGAATGAGTTCAAATCATAGAGTAGTCGTGAATCTTTTTCCATCAAAGGTGCGAATCAAGAGAGAGTACTTCCAGATAGAAGTGCGCATATGAATCCAACTTGAGTAAATCCATCAAGGTATTGGAAGAGATGCAACCTTAAGTAAAATTTAACTTGTTGCAAAAACCCTCAAAATCTTGATCTTGTTCTGTCAAAATTTTCAAGCATACTAATCCTTGCCTCCCTCGAGCTTGTAGAAGCAAAACTCTCAAAATTTGGTTGCGAGGCTAATCGACTTGTTTCCTTCAATTGCACAACTTCTTGGCATAGACTCTAAACTTCTTCCATAGTAGTAGGAATAGTGCTTCCATGGTTGGTGTTAGTGATGCATGAAATTTCGATCCTAAGAGTGTTGACAAGCTCATGAAGATCTTCAATAGTTACAAATCTATTTTCACTTCTACCAAGTATAGCATCCATGATTTTTTCTTCTATAGACAACTCAAACGAATTCAAAAGTTAAATAAGAGGAGGGTAATCCGCAACCTCTAAAAACAAATTCTACAAAGAGAGATAATTTACGTTCTTTAAGGAAAAGATCAATGTTAGAAAATAAGATTTTTTATTTAAAGGTGGGTAGTCCGCAACCTTCAAAATACAATAATAGAAGTGGGGTAAGCCACTCACTTCTAGAAGAAGACAGAATTAATATGTTAGCACTCTTGTCAAACTATCAAAGACATGAACTCCAAAGAAAGATTATCTCAATACACTCTTGTATCACTTGAAAATACTTAGAAATCACTCAAAGGTGATAATATATTAAACTAGAATGGCTATTGCCAAAGACTAGAAAATATGATGACTTTTGAAACTAGACTGAAAATAAGTTAAGAGTTGAGAAGAGTGAAGAAGCCTTCATTTTTGTTTCTATATATACTATCTAATTAGGGGCTATGTGGCGACATTCTATAAGACCTCCAATATGTGTTGACTTTGTAGGACACTTGCCTTGACTTACAAGGCAAGTTTTTCTACATGTGGGCCACATAGTTAGCTTGGTCTTCAAGCTAACAACATGTGTGGCATATGGCCAACTTATTGACCACGTTTCTAATCCAAAAAGTCAATTAAAGATACCCATGAAGTCAAAGGGGCATCTATGAAGCTTCTAGGAAGCTTTCATATCAAATACGATTGAATTAATTTACTTTTATCTACTTTTACTTACTTCTACTTATTTATATATATAATTATTAGCTTACTTGAGTATGTCCGTGACACAAGGACATATACTTAGAAGTGGTAGAAGATTCTAGAAGGTTCTAGAGAAGCTTTGTCATTTGTAGAAGCTACTTGAAAAGTTTTTAAGCTTAAAGGAAGCTGCTTGAGAAGCTTCCTAGTTTGTGAAAGCTACTTGTGAAGCTTCTTAGCTTGTAGTATATATAGGAGCCAAGACTGAGGGAACCCTTAGTCTCGACAATACACCTCTTAGAGGTCTAGCTTACTTTTCTAGTGTTGTTCTTGTACTTATCTGATTAATCTTATTCTTGTCGATTCTTCTTGAGCTTCTTGTTTGGATTTCTAGTTAATATTCTAAATTTGTGATAACTAGTCACTTTCAAAAAAATTAATTATCTTACTCCTAAATAAATGTTCATTGCTTACAATAGAGAGATAATGTATTCTTTTTAGCTTAAAATCAATTCTACAAGACTGACACAAAAATTGAAGTAAAAAAAAAAAAAAAAAAAAAAAAAAAAAAATCAAACTTTGCTCTTCAAATATCAAGTCTCTTTTTTTTCCAACTATCAACAAATTGTTAGCTTTTAATCGTAAAACTTATTGTTATCACTTCTACACACAATGCCTTGAAGTGCCTTTAATCTTATACTTCTTGTATAAATCAATTAACATAAAAAGATATACAACATGGAGCTTCTTTGAACACTTCAAATAAAAGATCTTAAATTATGAATCAAATAAATTCCAAACTCTCAAAAATTCCATAGCAATACATAATGGTATAGTGATTCATAGCAATCAGCTTTTACTTGATTGCTCATATGTTATTTCTAAATCTGAATAATTAACTACTGAAATGACAAAGTATACAACACTGAAAGCATTTCACCTTAATACACTTACTCTAAAATTTCTAAAAATATATTAAATTTTCAATATAAAGCACAATAAAATTTGTATGTATTTCAAAAATTACACAAAAAAACTTGTGTTATTTTTTATATAAATATTTTGCATTGCAAAGCACAATAAATTTTTTTATATTTCAAAAATTATACAAAAAAATAATTTGTATGATTTTTTATATAAATACTTTTCAATAAAAAGCACAATGAAAATTTTGAAATATAATATAATGCAAATACATATATATTTGTGAATCTTTTGAAATATCTAAAAATACACTCACTTTGTAATGTAAAGCTTGATAAGATGATTTAAAAAGAATGGAGAGTATGATTTTTGAATCTTTGGAATTCTATTAAGTTTTTCTTTCAAGTTAGATTATAAACTTATCCTTGTTTTGTTCTTTCACTCACAAATTCTTTAACACATTCTTTGATAGAAGCTCAAATATAATGTATAGATATTTGGAGTATAAAAAGTAAAACTTTTGATAGATGCCTATTATAATTACGGAGTGCAACTTCAAGAAAGCACAAAAAACTACAACTATGTCTTTCTCTTTGTCAAAGACCAAACTTCATCTTTAATTGTATTACATGCATACAACAAACAACACATTACTAAATCCATCCACGTTTAGTTAAATTCCAATTTTTTACATTCAATTCAACTTTAGTAATGATAGATCTATGCAAGAAATAAGATCTACTATTTATCTTGGCTATTTATCTTGAATTTGTATTGTACAATGCTACTTATATTGTCAGCCTTGAGTCTAAAACAATTGAGTTCTTGATAGATCCTTTCTTAATTAAACACTTTTTGTTTAGGCAATAATCAAAGAGACTCAATGGCCATGTGAATGAAAAACCATTGTTGCTTGTTAGTTAGAACATCTCTCAAAGCTTTGAACCCTTCCGTGTAATTTGTAATTCCTTATCAAATACCTTGATCAATTGTAAAATGTCTATTGGAATGCCTCGATGATTTATAAAACGTCCTATAGAATGCCTTGTGAATTTCAGAGAAGGCAAACTTTTTTGATGAAAACAAAGATCTATCCACACAACCATCAAGAATCACTACTTGAACCTTGTGGAACTCCTTGATCAATTGCAAAATGCAATGATGAAGTATAAAATGTGTTTTGAACTCCACAAAACATGAATCTTTTGGATGAAAATGAAAATCGATCTATGTGGTGAATGCAAGCCACCACTTGTCTTTTTGAGTGATCTTAATATATATAATATATACCATATATACAATATATTGTTTGTATTATTTATATATCTTTTATAAATATATGTATATTATAATATATTATAAACCTAATATTAAAGATTTATGTTATATATATTATAATAGTATACATAATACTATATTAAGTAATATATATATAATTATTATATATAATTATTATAGTACTATATATTATATATTTATCATACATATGATAATTGTATAACATATATTATGATATACAAACTTTATTAATATTATAATATAACATGATATTGTTATATGGTATATATTAATATTATCATGTTATAGTATTGATATATCAATACATAATATGAAGATATTAATATAACATTATATATTATATATTTGGTTCAATTATATATTAGATTTTAGATTATAATGTTATAGTAATGTTATGAAATTTTTTTGATATCATGATGGGTTTATAACATGTTATGAACACGGGATTACCTAAATGACCCTTGTGAACTCCCTGTGAACTCCACTTGAGTGCATTCAGTCACAAAATCGCAAAAAAAAATAAAAAATATGAGCCATATGAACTCCTTTTGAGTGCATTCAGTCACAATATTGCAGAAAAAAAAAACATTAAAAAAATAAAAAATAATAATGAGCCTTATGAACTCCACTTGGATTTTGGTCTTCCTTGGTACTTGAGCCACCACTTGTCACTTTGAGCAATTTTAATATACAGATTGCGAAACAATTAATTGAGCATGGCAATATTGTGTTTTATAACGACATCTCGTCACTTGTTAACAAAACATTAAACAAATGGAGCATTTCACACATTCTACATTCGAAGCAGGAATCTGCAGACATGAATATGGGATTATCCCGTAAATAACTTCAGGATCGGCGGAGGTACTCAAATCCCAGGATCCATGGATGTGACTCCAGTTGTTACCATGTTGAAGCTTCCCATCGAATCCAATCATTCCCTCATACTCAAAAATCTTCTTTTTCAGTCTTTCAGTTCACCGTCAATATTATAACCTCGAAGGAATATCCAGAACTGGAAGACCACAAAATTGTAACTCCCCGTCATCCAGCACGTCGTTTAGAGCATGCAATTTCCGTAGACCAGGCTTGCTCCCTGAATCATTACATGTGCCAAAATTACTGGAAAATCCCCATGCATGAGTTATAGCGACAAAGGTGAATTCCCATTAGCCAGCTAGGGTGTCAGCGTGTTCCTCTCCTTGGGCTTGGCTTCCGCTGGAGTCTCTGGACGGGGATCTCGTGGTCATCGATCCCCTCCCTGTCCAGGAGGTAAAGCATACGACACGCCACCACTCGCTTCAGTTCGCCAGGTGCTCGTGAACTGGTAGCTCCTGGTTTTAGCAGGATTGTTCTCGGGACTTCGAGGGCCGAAGATGGCACACCAGCAGCACGGCTTCTTGGAAGGTCACGCTGAATCCACACCGGCGTGGGCTGCTGTTGCTGCTGTGGTTGCTATGCTGGTGGGTTGGCTGTTTTGGAGGTTGTTTTCAGTCTCACCCGAGTCTCAAGGCAAATTACCAGTTCCACCCGGGAGCTTTAAGTGGCCACTACTCGGAGAGACTCTTGATTATCTCGACTGTGCAAGGCGCAACCGAGTCGCAGACTTCTTCAACGCTCGTGTGGCTAAGTATGGGGAGGTGAGCCCGGAACGCAGTGTGTGCACCAGTCGATGAGTATTGAAATGGAACTGAGTGTCTGTTACCAAAACAAAGCACAGAACTCTTTGAGTAGGGCATGTTCCCATTTTCCTGCGATTCTTGATGCCACGCTGTTCCACAAGCACTTGAATGAACTGTTTATGAAATTCTTGTAAACGTGTGGTTGTAAAACTAACTTTCTCCTCTCTAAATCATCTCGGAAGTCAAGTCGGGTCTGATGACGTTTTATGGAAGGAATCAATTTGGATTAACCTCCAAAACTATTCGCATGGTATGCTTTGTCTAGGGAACGATTGAGTTTGCGAGCAATTTCCACAACAGCTGTGCAGTACAGTTTGGGATCTGTTTGTGAATTTTCTTTCGAGACACTGGAAATTTATATTTGAGAAACTGTTTTGCAGACATTTAAAACGCACATTCTCTTCAACCCGACAGTGTCAGTGGCTGCTCCAGACGGGAACAAGTTTTTGTTTGCAAATGAGAACAAGCTGGTTCAGAATCACTGGCCGCCATCAGTTTCCAGACTGCTGGGCGAGCATAGCATGGCAACGAAAGTTGGCGAGGAGCACAGGTGTGCACTAGTCTTGCAGAACTGCCGAAGAAATCCACGTGAGAATTTCTGTAATTGCATTTTACATGGTTATCATCTAGAGTTGTGAGAACAGCATCACCTCATAGAATTACTATCAAGGGTACACTTTCTGAATGTCATTCCTTGTTCTGGGGTGATTTACTAGACGAGCGCGTCGAGTTTACACCAACTTCTTCAAACCAGAAGGTCTCCAATCCTTCGTACCAAGAATCGATGAATTAGCTCGTTCTCACAATTCGAAGTATTGGGAAGGCAAGGAATTTATCCTGGGAGGTCCAACAGTGCGAGATTTCACCTTTGCGGTAGCTGCGGACTTGTTTCTAAGTTTGAAACACGATGATCCGATGTTCCGACCATTCGAACTTGCCGCATGTGATTACCTTGCAGGGATATTGCAAGTTCCAATCAATTTACCGGGTACTGCATATCGCAAGGGGATACTGGGGCGAGAGAGCCAGCTGCGCGTCATTGATATGAGCTTAAAGCAAAGAAGACAGGTGGGTTACAGTTTTCAGTCTCCCAGAACGTGAAGGGCCAGATTCCTTTACGCATGTCACTACTACATGTCACAGTAAAGACTACTGCATTTGACTTAGTGAAGGTGCTTAGAGCTGTACAGTTTATAAAGTTCTTGTTTCGATTGAACAGGAAATGAAGGAGGGACGTGTTCCTCCACAACAGGATCTCATGTCTGTGCTTCTAAACACCCTAAATGAGGACGGAACTCCCATGTCGGATGACCAGATCAAAGATAACATGCTACTGTTTGTGTTCGCTGGTCACGATACAAGTAGCTCCGCATTGGCTGGGTTGCTCAAGTACTTGTCTCTTAATCCAGAATGCCTGAAGAAAGTACTTGAAGGTGGGTTAGATATTCAACTGCATTCAAGTATTACTGTAGAATAAACTGGTTTCTTCCGATCCACCTTTCTTTTCTGGCGAGTGAATCATTGTGATATCTGCGATAATCATTTAGAACATAAATTCAATTGACAAGCCTATGTTGCTGCGGCTTCTCTCCTCCATTCAGAGTGTCATCCTGTACAGTGTTGGCACTGATGCAAATCGACATATTTATTTATTAATTTTTTCCTTCTAATGTGTGGTGACAGAGCAAATGGAAATTAGAAAGGAAAAGGGAGGCGAAGATATACCATTAAGCTGGGACGATACCAGAAAAATGAAGTACACATGGCGGACTATTCAAGAGACCTTAAGGTTACAACCCTCTGTGCAAGCCGCATTCCGAACAGTCATAGAAGAATTTGAGTATGATGGGTACACTATACCCAAAGGATGGACGGTAAGATCCAAACTAAATTAGCAATGTAATTTTTTGCAGAAATACTTGAACTACATATTGTAGGCAAGGTAATAATATTCCGTTTTGTGATGTATTGATATGTTATGGTTATATTTTGTAAGACATTATTTACTCTACCTACTCATGAATACACGGTTCTATGATGTGTTGATGTCTCATTCCGTTTAATTAAATTTGTGCAGATATTCTGGAGTGTTGGGCGCTCTCACAGAAATCCAAAGTTTTTCCCTGACCCAGAGAAATTCGATCCATCGCGCTTTGAAGGGACAGGGCCCGCACCATTCACGTTCGTCCCATTCGGCGGAGGACCTCATATCTGTCCAGGCAACGAGTTCGCTCGCACAGAGATTTTGGTATATATTCACTATCTCGTGTTGAACTATGAGTGGGAGATGGTCGATCCCACTGAGGACGTCTGCATCGATCCAATGCCACTGTTCACGAAACAACTCCAACTCAGGGTTCGTAAAAGGTTCCCGTCGCTGTAACTTACTGGCATGATTCTCTCTGCGTTGCAACCTCTGCAGTCAAATGGCATTCGTTCGATGGGTTAAATTCTATGTTTTTTCTTTTTTTTCTTTTTCCCACACTAGTCCGGTGTCAACGTGAAGAAATCCATTTCAGCCAGGTATACCTTACGAGGCTGTAGAATACCACATCTGATGGAACAAGTATGAACTATACATATTGTTGCAATTAGTCTCTGTAGATGAATCTGATGACATATGAGGTTTGTGTCATATATATGTGTGATTGGATTGTAAATTGGGTTGTACTTGAGAAGAACTCACATGCACATATCAAAATCAAATTCTTGTCCAAATTGCAATGACCTATTCAAAATTGCAAAGGTCACACCTTACGATCGATGGAACACGAGGGTAGAATAGATACGACTAATACCCAAGTGGCATGAAAAATGCCATCAAATTTGGAAGAGGATGTTCCAATCAGCAAACGCCAAACCAATCCGGTTGCAAATCTGACCAAAAGCAGCGAAATCACAAGATGGTTGTTAGACTGTTCAAACGGAAGTTAAACTTCATCAAATGGAACTGGAATGAACGGATACCAATACACTGAAAGTATGATTTTGGGTTCAAGAGGTAATCATATTATGTTCAAAAGTGAGGAGCAATGTAATAATGCCTGTGCAGGAAAACTAGAGAGAGACTCTGGGCAGGAGTGTGAGATTGAATTACTATCTATCTATTCTATCCTGAAGTGCAAGCACAATGCAGTCCACCTTGGCTACCAAGCAAATAAAGATGGGTGGCTCAGGGAAGGGAAGGACAGGGAAAGGGCAGGGAATATAGAAGAAAAAGAAGTCTAAAGGCTACAGACACTTAACATCAGCAAGTATTGTACTCTAATAGAAGTGTGGAAGAAGATGATTCTTCCTTCCAACACTCTTTACTTATAGCTAGTGGTTTGCTTACCAACGAGGCAACTTCCATCCATTTGATATTACATCTGTTTCTACCTCTTCTTAGTAAAGCCTTGGTACCACCGTAATAACGTACTTTACCTCTTTGCTGTCTTTTACTATTAACAATATACTATGCTTAAACTTTATGTGGTTGTAACTAAGCAAGTACTTGCTATTCTTCAACACTCCCACTTTGCTTATATTCAAAAGGCTTTTAATCCTAATCTCTGAATCAAGTCATGATGTCTACCTTTTACTAATGCCTTTGTAAGCACATCAGCAAGCATGTCATTTGTAGCACTATACTTCATACCTATTATTCCATCTTCAATCTTCTCTCGTATGAAATGATGTTGAACATCAATGTGCTTGGTCCTTGAATGATGCTTTGGATTCTTTGCAAATACAAGACATCCTTGATTATCACACATAATGGGAGTTGCTTCTAGTTGCACTAAACCAATGTCTTCTAAGAGTTGCTTGATCCAACAGGCCTCCATTTGCACAATGACTTGCTGCCATGTACTCTGCCTCCGTTGTTGATCTTGCAATAGTAGGTTGTCTCTTGCAATTCCATGAAATGGCTCCCACTCCAATGAAGAATACATATCCCATTATGGATCTTCTATCATTTACATCTCCAACCCAATCCGCATCACAATAACCTTGTAAGTCAATGTTCTTACCACCAAGGCATAATTTGAAGTCTTTTGTGCGTTTTAAGTACCTCAAAATCCTCTTTACTGTTTTCCAATGCATTGGTCCAGCCTTAGACACGTGTTGGCTCACAACACTCACTGCATACGCAAGATCCACTCTTGTAGCCACCATTGCATACATGAGTGAGCATATTGCTGCTTTGTATAGAAAACTTTGCATCTCACCTTCAACTTGTGCAAATTCCTCATCCGTGAGCTTCATCAACTTCAAATTTACCTCCAAGGGTGTTCCAATGGACTTACAATCCTCCATGTTGAATCGTTTCAACACTTCTTCAATGTACTTTGTTTGGCTCATTGTAATGGTCTTGTTACCACAATCTCTTACAAATTCCACTCCCACGAAATAGTGCAATTCTCCCAAATCACTCATCTCATATTCCTTCTCTAATTTGGCCTTCATCCAATCCATCTTTTCCATATTGTTAGCCAAGATGATCAAATCATCAACATAGAGGATTACAATCAGCAAGAACTCTCTAAATTGCATCACATACAATGAATGATCAGCTTCACTCCTTACAAATCTTTCATTGACAAAGAAGGTGTCAATTCGTTGGTACCATGCCCTTGGTGATTGTTTCAACCCACACAAAGATTTCTTCAATTTGCAAACAAGTTGTTCTTTGCCTTCTTGTACAAATCCTTGAGGTTGGTCCACATAGATGTCTTCTTGCAATTCTCCATTCAGAAAGGCCGTCTTCACATCTATTTGGTGTATTTCCAAATCCATTGCTGCCTCAATTACTACAATGGTCCTTATGGTGGTGAATTTGACAATGGGTACATAAGTCTCATTGAAATCAATTCCAACAACTTGTGAATATCTTTTAGCAACTAATCTTGCCTTGTGCCTCACCACCACACCCATTGCATCTCTTTTAGTCCTAAACACCCATTTACAACCAATACTAGATCGATTTGGTGGAAGAGGTGCCAATTTCCATGTACCATTGTCCATAAGAGATTGGTACTCTTCTTCCATGGCCTTCTCCCACTTGATTGCATCTTCACACTTCATAGCCTGACACAAAGACAATGGATCAACAAGAAGAACAATATTTGTATTTTCTTCACTTACTTGAAGGAAGATGTGATCCTTCCACCATTCGCCACGTTGCTTTCTTTCTCTCAAAAGATATCTCCTTTCATTGATTGAAGAACATTCACCTTGTTCTTTTCCAACTCTTAAACCTTCTCATTTCTCACTCAACGGTTGGAAGTCTTCATCATTGTCATCATCTCAATCTTCAACATCTTCATTTCTTTCATTACTGGTCCTATCAATTATAGGAGCCTTCATCTTTTCAACCTTCTTTGGCTTTTCATCTTCATCATCTTCATTGTGTTCATCTTCTTGTTTCTTTGCTGAATTCAAAGATGTGTCCACAAACACACCATTACTCCCACTTGCATACATCTCTAAGTGCTCACAAGCACTCTTGTGCTCTAAAAATACAACATCACGACTTTTGATGATCTTCTTGGTTTCCAAGCACATTAGCTTATATGCCTTAGTACCTTCACAATAACCAAGAAACACACACTTTGTACCTTTTGCATTAAGTTTGGACCTCATACAATCAAGTGTTTTTGCATGTGCAATGCAACCAAAGGTCCTCATATGGGAAATACAAGGTTGTCTACTACTCCATGCTTCTTGTGGTATCATTGATGCAAGAGCACTTGTTGGACATCTATTTCTTGTATATATTGCATTCACCACAGCTTTCGTCCAAAATTTATAGCTAAGGTTTTGAGCATGTAATATATTCCTTGTCATCTCTACAATGGTTTGATTTACTCTTTCAGCAACACCATTTTATTGTGGACTGTAAGGAGTTATGGTTTGTCTAGTAATTCCTTCATTCTTCAAATAAACATCAAATTGCTTAGTCATGTACTCACCTCCATTGTCTGTACGTAGCACCTTAATCTTGCATTCACTTTGTTTTTCAATAAGTGTTTTAAAATCCTTAAACCTCCAAAAGCATTCATTCTTGGCTTTAAGAATATAGATCCAAATCTTTCTTGAATAATCATCAATGAAAGTGAAGAAATACCTTGATCCTCCAATACTTGTATTTTTCATAGGTCCACATACATCTGAATGGACAATCTCCAGCAACTTGGTAGCACATAAAGCTACATTCTTTGGAAATGAGGCCCTTTGTTGTTTGCCTTGTATGCATCCTTTACATGCAAGTTGTTTTGCATTTTGGCTTGTATTTCCAAGATCTAAGCCACTTACTATGGTCTTGAGCTCTTTCATGCTCTTCACATTTAAATGGCCAAGGCGATGATGCCATATATTCAACTTATCTTCGTTTGATGTAAACTCAGTAAATGTAGCTACCTCCACTCCATTCACCTTTTTACAAATGAGGTAGTACAAATTTTCATCTTTCAAGCCTTTGAAGACCTTGTCTCCACTCAATGATCTTACAAAACATCCATTCATGTCAAATTGAACTTTAAAACCTTCCATTACAAGTTCACTCACCGAAAGAAGGTTTTGCTTCATCTTAGGTACATGAAGCATATTTTTGAGTCTGATCCGATTGGTTTGTCCATTCACAACCACCTCTACCATAATAGAGCCAATTCCAATGGCTTTACATGTACCACTATCTGCTAACACCACATTTGATGCTGGAATAGCTTCATAAGTATCAAATGAACACATATAAGGTGTCATATACTTGGAACATCCTGAATCCACAATCCATCTTGACATGGCAGCCATAGAGGTCCCATTTGGTGTCATGAATGCATAATCTTGTCCTCCAAACTCATCTTGCACACTATTTGCATTCTCCTTCTTTATTATTTTGCCTTTGTAGCAATTTCGAGCAAAATGGCCTATTTTGCCACAAATGAACCAAGATTTGACATTACCTTGTTGATTTGGATAGTTCCCCTTGCCTTGACGTGAATACAATGTTGTGTCACAGATACAGAAATACAGACTCGAGATCTAAGAAGAAGTTCAATAAGAACTGACAAGAACTAGATTAATCAAATGAATACAAGAACATCACCACAGAGGTGAACTAGAGCTCTAAGAGATGTGTTGTCAAGACTGAAGAACTCTTCAGCCTTGATTCCAATATATACTCCTATTTAGGAAGCTTCTCAAGCAACTTCTACCAACTAAGAAGCTTCTAGAAGGTTCCAGAGACTTGCTTCTAGAAGGTTCTAAAAACTTATCTCTAGAAGGTTCTAAAGACTATGTTCCTAACATCTTCTATCAACTAAGAAGCTTCTAGAAGGTTCTAGAGACTTACTTCTAGAAGGTTCTAGAAACTTGTCTCTAGAAGGTTCTAAGGACTATGTCCCTAACATCACCCCCTCCTTTAGCTTCGAGGTCTCTAAGAAGCAATGTTGTTGTTAATTAGTACCAACGCAATAAAACAAAGATCTGTCGCATAACGTCTGCTATAAACTCCAACTGTTGTTCACGAGGCAAGTGGTTCATTGGCCCTTGAAGCCAACTGTAGTGGCCCACTCCTTCAACTTCTGACCAAGCATAAACTTCCGTGTCATCATTGTGAAATTGTCCTACAAACACGCCTTCTGACTGACCATCGTAAGCAGGCTCGGATTCAAATACAATCACCAGTGATTAGTTACTCGATATCCTCTGTCGTCGTCATGGTGTAG